AGACCAGTGTTTCACCAATGAAAAAACATCATATCCTTTGAGATTCAGATATGAGATGAGCTATGAAATATACCTGAAACAGAGCCTTGATAACGGAAGCAAAAGTAGTGGATGTGGTTCGCCTGATCACCACTAAGAGAAGATGTTCTTGACAAATTGATCAATCTGCAGTAAAAAATCAGTAAGGCCATGTTCGCTTCTCTTATAATCCATCCTTTTCAGCTTGTTTTTTCAGCCGGAACAGTATTTTTCTCTCACAACAAATCAGCCGGAACAGTATTTTGGCTTATTTTTTCAACGAAGCAAACGGGGCCTAAATTCCATCTGTAACGAAACAATTCAGTGGTTGTTTGTTAGATGCAAACTATCGAAGTATTTGTCCTATTCCTGAGCTCACTAATATAAGCTTGTTTTTATTCATTATTTTTAGAGTCCATTGAGCAGTTTATAACTGTATTAGATTCATGGTTCTTGTAAGTCCTAGAGTGGAAGGAGGATGTAGTCCTTAGCAATCCAACTATTAATTCTATCATGTTATCACTTTTCACTTTGAAATGTTCATAGGCATATTGCAACCATTAAACAAACCATTTGTATAGCACAAACAAAGGCTTGGAATGCAAGCAAACACTAAAACGATTCATCAACGGTCAAACTGGCAACAGCAACCAATGACATAAAACAAACAGGTGGTGGGCATGCAACCAGAGGCTTACCTGTCTGGGCGTCAAGCCTCGATGAAGCGACGTCCTTCCGCATGGACGTAACATGATCAGGCTGTCTCTGTTCACCTTCGCGTCATGCCGTCCTTTGATCAGGCGAGATTAGGAACGACTTCCTTCATCATTGGCTAGAACGATGAGGAAACACATACGATGGAGATCCAGAAGAATACTCACCGAACAACATCGGTAGCAGCCGCTACGGCCTACGGTGACGCCTCGCGCTCCTGGGGATGCGGATTAGAGTGCGCGACGCCGATGCTGACCAGAAGACGCGACCACAACGTGGATCGGCCTGATGGACAAGAATACATGATGATCTACGTGGGCCGGGGCAAGGACAACAGAGCTCCGTCATCGGGCCTTCTCCTTCTCGGCACGGCGTTGCGGCAGCGGCGCGGGCGAGGGCGGACTGGGTGCGCGACGACGGCGAGGGGGGAGAACGGCGGCGCGTCGCGTTTCAGGTTTGCCTTCTGCCGATGGCATCGCGATGGGAAAGGATGCCGCGGATCTTTGTGCGTGATTGGAGGCTGCTTCCTTACGTGATTGGATTGGAAGAGGAGATCGCGTGATTGGAGGAGGAGATAGCGTACGCCGGGGGAAGCGAGTGGGGAGGAAATCATGCGTGCGCCGGGGAAGCGAGCGGGCTACCGAGCATCGCACGTGGCCGGGAAAATCATAGACCCGGGTTTTCGCACGCCGGGTGATCTGGGCGCGAGCGGCGTTTTTTTGCACGCCTGATTCTCTTATGAATGTTTTAGGATGTTAATTACTGTCGTCGTCATCTAGGCTGCAGGAGGTGGTGCAGGCTCTAAGAGCGAGGATGTGAAGTCCTCCATAGGCCGCCGCTTTGCCCACACTACGCCAAGTGGATCAAAGTTTATAAAATTTGTGTTTCAAAAAAAAAGTTTATAAAATTTGTGAATCTAAAAAAACAGTTTATAAAATTTGTGTTTTTTCGAGAAAGGGAAAGATAGATGGGATTTTTTATTTTGACGATACAGAGCGGGCTCATCTTAACTAAATAGCAATTTCTACAGAGACTATTGGATTAGCCAATTTTTTTAGGGAATTTAATTTTAAGTAATATCTAAGTTATTAATTTAGAATATGTTTTCAGCTAGTCGGCATCTAGAATGTCGATTGGCATTATGGCTGCTTTTGATTTTCTATTTTATTTTTCTTAACTTGAAATTAAGGATTTATGGAGCTCTAAAAATCTTGTAACTTTTTTTAAGTAAAAAAATCCAGCACGAGACATTTTGCATGGATGTTTCATCATAGCTTTTGTAGTTTTGAAATCAAAATTTCTTCATGTAATGTTGTATTTGAGTTTTTGTTTAAACAGTTTAGCATCCAAATGCTTTTGATTTTCTTTTTTCTTTTTCTTAACTTGAAATGAAGGATTTATGGAGCTCCAAAAACCTTGTAACTTTTCAAGTAAAAAATCGAGCATGAGTCATTTTGCATGGATGCTCCATCATAGCTTTTGTAGTTTTGAAATCAAAATTTCTTCACGTAATGTTGTATTTGAGTTTCTGTTTAAACTGTTTAGCATCTAAATGGTATCTAAAAGTCCAGTAAAAACCATTTAAATTTCAGATTGTAAAAAAATAGTATTTTGTCATGTGATTTTCCAGTATATGTGCTCTGGTAAAACTCAAAGTTTATATGATCAAAATTCACTTTTAATTAAAAATTAAATGTATATGCATTCAAAACATCCACACCATAACCATGCCCTATAAATAGGAAAGTTAAACGAAGAGGAAACACAAATAATAAAAAAATAAAATTGAAGAAAGGAACAACAAAAAAGGACTGAAAACAAGAAAATTTTCATGGTTCATATTGGAGATAGATATAAATTTAATGTTCGGGATAAATATAGATATACATTAATATTAACGATAGATAGGGGATAGAACCTAACCAGCTGAGTAGCATACTCCCTCCAAAAACAGTCACCTAGATTTTGTGCGGGCCAAACTTTTTTTAAAAGTTTAATTACATTTGTAGAAATTATGTCAATAACGTTTGTATCTAATTATATTCAACAATTGATCTAATGATATTTATTATGCACCATAAAAGTTATCTCTTACATATATTTGGTCAAATCAAAATTGAAAATGTTACTTTTTTGAAAAGCTTTGTCTTATACAATTTGTTTTCTTTCTTTTGTTATACAAATTTACCGATCCTTGCAGATCTCGGATCTCCAACTCAGATGCAATCAGTTAATGTTTTACATATAGGACGTGTTTGGTTTCCTACCCATCTCACTGGCTAGGCTCCACCGCTCCAGTAATGCAACTCCTGGATGTTTGGTTTCCAACTAGCCACCGACAGCCCTTTAGCCAAGCCCAGTGAAAACGCGCGGGGGTGGCTGTTTCCGTTAAGCCAGGCTTCTACCGCGCGCGGTGCGGGAGACGAGGTGGGCCAAGTGCCTTTGCAAAGTGGGCCAAAGGTAAGCAGGCCAGCCTTTTGCATAACAAACCAAACACGAACTCGTCGTGGCCACCCTCATCTTCACACGGAAGCAAACAAAACCTACCAGCAGGCCTGGGCTGCCTAGGCTTGCTTGCTGTTAAGCTCCGATGAGCCCAACAAACCAAACACGCCCATGTTCTTTGATCATGCACGGAGTGAACATGACATGGTTGCTTTAGGACCATTCTAACATTGTCACCTTTCCTAAACTGTGTGTCCATGAGTTTGGACGCATCGCGGCATCAAACGCTCTAGCGGACCCACGAGTAGTCTCGGATGCCTCCATCCTCATGCTTACTTTATTAATTCTCTCCTACCTTATCCTCTCATCTCACTTTTCCACCACCGTCCACCCTCGTTGCACGGCATCGCTGATGGCCAAGGCATGCACACCGTCGTTTGCCATTGCTGAGCGGTTTCTTGGCTTCCCGTGCAGGCGAGTTGTCGCTGCCTTCCGCAACTCGGTGTGGCTGAGCGAGCTCCACTCTACCTCCACCCATGGTCTTACTCACAGAAGCTCCACCCAATGCACCCCAACCAAGCTCGTCACCGGTGATGGCTTCCACGCTGAGCCGGTTCGACCACCACGCGGTTCATGCCACGGCTCCCGGACTTGCGATCGCGTGTCGTGCGCATGTGGTGCTCCCGCTCCTACCAGCGTCTCCACTCACCTGGTGGCGCTCCCGCTCTTGCCACCGAGTTCTCGGTGCCAACGCAGCATGGTCCACAGTGACTGCTCCCGCATGGTGTTCTCCACCATGCCCAGCTCCCCGCTTGCCATCATCCTTCCTCTCCACTGCACTCGAGCGCCGATTGCTCGCTACCACAGTTCCCCACTAGGTAGGTCATCGTCGCCGGCGATGCCGTGTTTCTAGTGTTTCATCTGGATGTTGCATGTGTTGTAATGGCTATATATGTTGTTGCAAGCATATGTTTCAAGTGTTTTAGACGTATTTTCAAGTGTTTCATCTAGATGTTATAAAAATAGATCTGGATGTTGCATATACATGCATGTTGCAAGCATATGTTTTAAGTGTTACAGGTGTTTCATACGTATGTTTCAATTGTTTCATCTGGATGTTGCACATGTTTGCAACGGCCTTCAAGTGTTTTCCGTGTTTTGCAAGTGTTCTGGACGTATGTTGCAAGTGTTTTCAACTGTTTCGGATGTATATTGCAAGTGTTATATCTTGAAAAAATAGATCTGGTGTCGGACATGTTGAAATGAGATCCACCTGCTGCAGCCGCTTGTTGCACCTACTAGGGCACCGCCGAGGGGGCACAGATGTTCCCGCGTGCATGTGCGCGAGAAGCGGAGGGGCGCGAGCGGTCTCCACGTGCGGTTTGGCAGCACGGGCGATGTCCGAGCGGCGCGGACGCCTGTGTGGGCGCGCGAAACGCAGGCGCGGGAAACTGACTGCAGGCGACGTCCGGACAGCATGCCCCCCGTGGGCGTGCGAAACGGCTCAAAAAATGGATTGCAGACGCGGACGTCCCGGATGTCTGGGCGCTGGCACAGCCGTTTCTTTTAGCTCTTCTCTGTTCTGCTCTACTCAATGGACTCTGCAGCTACATCTACATGTACCTAAGCTTTAAGAATTCAGGTGATGTTCTGGCAATTTTGTACACTTTCATGTGTATCGCAGTTCTGAGCTGGACGATCAAGATGTTCTTATATATATAAACTACTAATACAAATACAATAATCCAAAATTGTATCTCAGTGGATATATCCCTCTGAACAACGGAGCAAGCACATTGTGGCAGCCGCGGCGTGCACGCCGGCTACCGCGCCGCCGTTGGGGAGCCCAGGGCGTGGGTGTGCTTGAGGATGGAGTTGAGCCTCTGCAGCCTGAGGTCCTCCCGGAACTGCCGGATGAACAGCTCTGCGCGCGCGTTCAACTCCGCCTTCCCCTCCAGCGCCTCCCCTGCTTTTGATACCCTCCGCCAGTCCGCCACAACCTTCGCTGGCTTCTTCTTGTGCTCCGTCGGCAACGCAGCAGGGGCAGCGGTGGCAGAGGCTGCTGCTGCTGGCGGTGGCGACGCCGGTGACTGCGCGCAATGCCGCTGGGCTAGCGCGTACGCCTCGTCCAAGCTGATGGACTCATCATGGTCTTGCTCCTTCTCTGCCTCTGTCTCTGTCTCTGCCTTGTCCTCCTCCTCCTCCTCCTCCTCCATTGGCAGTGCCGGAGGAGCGTGGTCCTCCGCTGTTGCCATCGCCACAGGCGCGCTCGGTTGCGCGGCCCTGATCGCTGCAGTCCCGCCGGTTGTTGTGGCCGCCAGCGCCTGTGGACTGCGCTCAGGCGCGCACGCCTGAGTCGCGGACGCCGCCTCTGCTTCTGGCGAGCAGCAGTACGAGCCCAAGGCAGCACTGCTTTCATCGATCGGCAGCTGACCCATGGGAAAGATGAAGAAAGACCGGAGACGATCCAGGACCATAGATGACCCGCTGCGGCAGAGCCTGCGCCGAGACGACGGCGTGGCCTCGGCCCCACCGCCGGCCTGCCCTGCCTGCGCGCCGCTGGTAGACATGACGGCGATGGCGCCGACGACTGCGTTGAAGAAGATGAACCACGCCGCGGCGGGGCTGAGCCACGGCGACAGCAGCGGCCACCACGATAGCGTTAGAAGCGCCATCCGAGCTCTGCTTGAGTTTGAGGATTGCCGCACCCACAAGCAAGCAGTGCTTCGTGAGTTATTGTTGTAGGAGCAATATATACACGGGCGCTGGGGACTGGACGGCATGTTCGGTGACAGCCTGAGCCTGCTGCCGCGGAACGTGTGAACGGGCGGGACAGGTAAGCCGCGTAGATCCGCCGCGTCCTTGTCCCAACTCGGAACGGCAAAGCAGAGGTTGGCGTCGCTGTCCCTTCGCTTCTTTTGCATGTGTGGCCAGTGGCCACTGCAAGTGGCACACGAGGTTTCAGTTAACTAGTAGTCTAATCCAACCGAGGCCTGGCAGCCACCACAGCCACCACGGTGATTCCACCGATTCCGAAGATTCGCCGCTGTTTTATTAGTTTCCGATTACGTGTCTGCTTTTACCTACAAGTTTGCCGCGTTGTTTTGCCTATCTTAGAATCATTTTAAATTACGTGTCTCCAGACGCTTTTCGTGGGCTTGTATATCACAATAGTACGTACACACCGTCTCTTCCTTTGGTGAAGAAAGAAGCAACACAGAAACGTTGTCGATGCCTATCTTGAATCATAAATTTATCGGAAATGCTACTTACCTGTAGGGCGTGGCGTCCGTCCAGACGCTCTTCGTGGGCTTGTATATCAGCCCAATAGACCTTTGCTCAGTGTCAGCTTGTTTTAGAGGTATGTTGCAAGTGTTTTATAAGACATCAAAAGTGGATTGGGATGTTACACATGTTGCTCTTACTTGTTTAAAGTGTATGTTCCAAATGTTTCATCTATTTCGCGTTTATTGGATGTTGCAAAGAGATCGGAGAAGATATATATGCAAGAGTTTTACCTGTTTTCATGCGTTATGTTGCAAGTGTTTCATCTTGATGTTTGCAATGGCTCCGCCTTTTCAAGATCCAAATGATTCAAACGTATGTTGCAAGTGTTTCAGCTGTTTCGGACGTATGTTGCATGCGTTTCATCTAGATGTTGCAAAAGTAGATCGGTGTCCACGCTACTCCTAGTATGTGGCCCGCTCCGCATGATCCATCGACGCGTCGTCCCAGCGTGGGCCTGCTCCTTCTCTCAGGCGGGGCGTCTTTGGCCGATTCACCATAGCCCTCGTCCGATGTCCAGTGCTAGCTTGCTGCTTATTACCGCTCGATTGGTTCCAAAAATTATTCCTCTCCTCTCTCCTAGAAATAATAGATTCTTTGACCAAATATATATATATATATAAGTATTAATGATTATGATGCGTAATATGTATCATTAGATTAATTAATTATAGAATATATTTTCGTAAAAAACCTAATTGTAGATCTAAATGTAAATAATATCTTCTATAAACTTAGTCAAATTTGATATCTATAAACTTAGTCAAATTTAATATCTTCTATAAACTTAGTCAAACTCCTCGTGAAACAAGATTTACATTTTTTATGGAAGGAGTACCTTATTATAGCTTTTTATTTTGCCCCCGAGCCTGAAACATTTGAAAATGATGCTCAAGTCATATGCATCGGTGCCATTGTTTAGCGTGTACTCCATCCACCCTTAAAAAATGTCATTCCCGTTTATTGAGAAGTTAAATACTTTCAATCTTCATAATTAAATATAATTTAGGTCATCAAATTTGTTCGGTTGTGCCATCTGAGTCTCTAAATCATAAATTATCTGTTTAGATTATCAATCTATGTTAGGATCTTAGAGTCAGTTTAAATAGGTCTAGATCCGTACCGGTATATACTGATGTGGTATGCTAACAGCATGTGGCACCCACATGTCAACTTCATCTAACTTCTCCATCCTCTCTATCCTCTGAGCTCCCTGTCTTCTTTAGTTAGCTGACGGCTCTGGACCAACATAGCTTAGGAGACACGGTCGGGGCTGGTAATGACATAGCTGGGGCAACACGGCTGGAGGCTTGGGGCGCTACACCCCATGGAATTTTATGGAGATGTTCTTGCGTACGAATACGGGTCAAGACCCATTTAGACCGGCTCTAAGACCTGGACAAGTGGACATAGATTGAGGATCTGAACGGACGATTTACATGTTTAGTGACCAGAAAGAATGATATAATTGAACAAGTCTGAGAACTTAAACAGATGATTTGCATGTCTAGAAACCATGATGATATAATTGAACAAGTTAGAGAACCTAAATGGACGATTCACGAGTTTAGGGATTGGGTGACACACATGGACAAGTTTAAGGATCTAAACGGATGATTTACGAGTGTAGGGATCGGGATGACACAGTCGAACAAATTCAAAAATTGCTAGTGGACTTTACTCTTATCTATATCTCTCTTATAAAGCTAATCACCACTATAAGTTCTATCTCGACATGCAAGTCATCCACATCATCTTCCACTAACTATCCACATCATCTCTCACTAATAGCCATGTTTATCCCACTGACTTTCAACCTCTTAATGCAACCAATTTTGATAAAATAGATGTAAGAACGTGTAGATGATTTAACTCATATATACAATAGTTTTTTAAGAGAATCCTATAGCAACGCCGGGTATCTTCTAGTTCTTACTATGCTTCTTCTCCGTGACGAGGTTTGGTATTGGCCATTGAGATGAGAAGAGAGAAAGGTTCTCCCATAGATTATAACTGGGTAACTCATTTGGGAATTGGTTGCTCATCCACCTTTGCATATATATACATGCTCACCCTTGTCTGCTCCATTAATGCTTCTTTACACCATCCATATTCTAACTTTTTTTTACTGAACTCCACTATGCAAGTTAATTGTAATGTAGCAAAAGCATTTTTTTGCTATGAAGTTATTTATGAAAAGTCACTAAAATATACTAGAGAGAGTGTGGTCTTGTTTTCAAACAATTGTAACAAGAAACAGAAGAATACACGATTTTACTTTTACTTATGCTATGATATGTTTAAATGCTCAATCATCACTGCTACAAAAAACAATTTTAATAGACAAACCCTCTAATATAGAGGTGGGCATTATAGGTTGCCATGCATATCTGAAAATGGTGAGACGGGCTGCAGAAAAATGCGCACCCCTATTAATTAGGAGAGGTGGGCATTCTAAAACGACTGTTATGGTTAAACATCAATTACAGAGGTAGTTATATTAGGACGTCCGTCTCTCTATTAATCGATTAATAAAGGCATTTGTCCTAAGGCAACCTCACTACTTTTTAAATAACTACCTCATTTCTAAATAGTTATTTTCAGAGGCGGGCCTGTTAAGAGCGTCATCTCTACAAATGACTAACAGATAACAAAACTGATTTGGTGTTTGAAAAGAAACTTGTTTATTCTCCTTTACAAATGGTACCATCGATTATCCATTGGCTTCACATATGGGTTATCCTCGAAAAGGTTACTCAATGGCTTTGGTTGCAGCGGCATCACAGCAATTGGCGCAAGCGGTCACGGTTCTTTTCTCCACCATGCACATGAATGACAATCTAGTCTTACAATTGATAGTTATTAGAGTGCCAGGCTTCTCTTAGAATTGGTAATCATTAGAGTGCCAGGCTTCTCTTCTATTTGCTTTGTTTAGGTTGTGTGCTTTTATACAGAGGCTGAAATTGAGTTCATAATTATTATATCAACTCGATGTAATGATTATGAATTAATAAAATTATTTTTTTATAAAAAATATGGCATTGCCTCTACGCCTAAAATAATTATAACTTTTTAAGCGAAGTCCGAAGAAGATGAAGTTTATGCCAAAATTGTTGAGCTCAATGACATCTACATCTTTGTAGTTCACATGATTTTTTTTGTAAAAGTTTTTAGAGTCCAGAAAATTTGTTTGAAGTTCTCTGATTTTGTAATTCGAAATCTACAATTTTCAAATGACCTCAGATTGTTTAAGGACACTCATACATACACACATTTTTGACATAATCAATACTAAAGTCATAGTTCACAATGTGACCGACAACTTTTGTAGTTGACAATTTATTTTTGTTTGAAGTGATTTAGAACAGCAAAATGTTTTTTAAGTCGTAGATTTTAGGTCGCGAATTCAAATACTAGGAAGCACACTATTTTGTTTTGTGAAAATCGTTAACAGGGTATTTTAGCCCGACTGTTTCTGTAGTTCCATTGACAAAGAAGAACAATTTAGACGCCCGTTTTTATTAACAAGTTTGTACTGACGGCCCGGGCGACCGCCTCTGGAAATGGAAATGAACTATGAACCGAGACCATTTCGCACAAGCAGTCAAGCCGCCTGCATCTGGAAATAGTATAGTCACTACAATTTGAATCCATGTGTTTGCATGTTAAGCTCCTGGTCTGGACTGAATGGCGTGCGTCCGAGCTCTGAAGACCTAACGTAAATGGGCCTGCAGCCCAATCTGAAATGAAATCTAAGAAAATGTTGCAAATCAGGAAAAAAATGGCTATGGACTCAAATATAATCGGATCATGATCTTTGTTTCATAGCTACATTTTGGATATCCTCTGCTTGTACTAATCGTCCTGAAGAGCTACATCTCTTATGAACCGGGAACTTAAAATTATCGATCCATGTCCCACGTGCATACGTTTTGGATATCCTTTGCATGTACTAATCGTCCTGAAAAGGTATACCCCTTACAAAACGAGAACTTAAAATTATCGATCCACGTCCCATGTAATAAAATTATCGATCCACATCTCACGTATCCTGTTCCTCGTACCCTATATACCGGGAACTTTGTGACTGTGCAACTAACACCACCCTGTAGATCAACAGCCCAGCATGCTCGGAGTGGCCGGTCACCTATCGTGACCGATTCGGACCACTCCCTCGTTCCCTTCATGCATCACAGGCCATCCTGCGCCACAACCATCCAACTCCATCTCTCAACGAGTTCACCTGTCCACAGACTCATGCATGGATCCTGTCTTTTAATAGGCATCACGAAGCAGGCGGAAGGTAATTAATGGCGCGGACAGCCCGTGGCGCCTCTCCTATTCCTACGACGGCGCCGGGGCCAGCCCTCCACCGACGCCCCCGACCTCG